AGGGTTTGAGTTTGAAGCTTAATGAGTAGTTCTCGAGGGTAAAGTTGGAAACTTTACCCTTCTGGACATCAATATGGAAGAGATCTGAGGTTTGGAGTCCTTGAATTCAAGAGAAATGACTTAATACGTTAAGTGGGTTTCGCAGACTGGAGAACTCAATGAGTTCATGAATGAACTCGACGAGTTGGTATGCGATTATCCAGATTCTGATGAAAAGGGGGCAAATCGTCGAGTAGTAGGGAAACTCAAAGAGTTGGGTCGAGACATAGCGATTTTGTCCTTAAGGGGAACTCGACGAGTTAAGGTACAACTCGACGAGTTGGGTCAACTCGGAGCGTTGACTTTGACTTTGACTTTGACCAAGTGTTGACTCAGGTTGATCATTTAGTATTTCAGGCCTTTTTGGATATTGGGCCTTCTTAGGTTGGGTCCATAATGGATTGGGCCTTATTGGGCTTTGTGGGCCATTTGGGTTTGGGCCCAATCTGGAAAATTGGGCCAATAGTGGACTTTATGGATTTTGGAGTTTTGGGCTTGTTTGGTGATGGGCTTGGGCCTTAGTTATGAATCTTGTTGGGACAGGGGTAAAATGGTCATTTTAACCCAATTATGGATTATGGATCATGGATTGAGATCCAATTGCTAATTGGGTGATATTTTGGTATTTTCAGCTCGGGAAGTGGACAGGGCAGCAGCTAAGGATTTCATTCTGGAAGCTTCTGCATTTAAGGTGAGTCTCTTCACCATACCAATGGGTCGAAGGCACCAAGGCCGGCCTATTATGTATTATGTGATATGCTAGTTGATTTTGTGCTATGTGGTATGCTAATTAATTATGTTGTATGTGATATGCTAATTGTCTTTGTGATACTTGCATGGAAGACCTCGGGGGGGGGGGGGGGGGTTCCTGGGGCACTTAGGTGTAAGACCTTAGAGGGTTTCCACGACATCCTAGGTAAAGACCTCGGGGGGTTCCCGAGGCACTAGGGTGTAAGACCTTGGAGGGTTTCCTTGGTATCTCTAGTCAAGACCTCGGGGGGTTCCCGAGGCATTAGGCTAAGACAATGTGGGGGTTCCCATGGCACCTGATGTAAGACCCTGGAGGGTTTCTACGGCATCCTTATATGTTTGTATGCATGATTTATATGACAGTGGGCTAAGAACCTGGAGGGTTTTCAGGGTACCCGGAGTAAGACCCTGGAGGGTTTCCAGGGCATCCCTATTTGTTTATATGCAAGACTTGTGTAGTTGATACGGATCATGTGATTATGTGTGTAAGACCTTGGAGGGTTTCCGTGGCATCCTTATGATTGGTTTTGAGCACTATAACAACTTATGGTACACATACAATCCTAATGCTTTGGATCTAAGTTTTCTCTAATTAGACATGCAATATTGTTTTCTAAAGCATGAAGCCTAACTAGCATACAAAATTTTGGTATATGAATCATAAAAACTAGTTAGAAGAATACTTCTTGTTGTAGCTTGTTGTATTTGGCCATTAAGAACTTAGCACCTCAAGTGTGATGCTTCAAATGGTTCACAAAATACCACCAACAATTGGAGAACTTGATAGAAAGCTTGGAGGCACTCAAAATCGGCTATAGTTTCTCTAAGAAGACTAGTGTATCCGAAGGAGTGCGGTGGGAAACATCCAAATAAACCGTATATGAAGAGGCGGTGTGTATCTATCAGAGGATTGTGGCGGTGAAGGACACTTTGTGTAGTAAGCGGTGGAAGCGGTGGAAAACACCTCAATAAGATCAGGTTAAAAAAAACAATTGATGATGGTCAAATAGGAACAGAGTACTGTTCCTAAATGTACCTCACAATTAAACTATATATAAATATGTGAATTATATTTTTATTGTCGATGTGTTTGAAACTTATGGTTTTAATAATATTCAAATATTGAAACTTTTTTACTTTTATAAATATGGATTTGATGTCTATTTTGAATATATAATAAATCTAGATATTCATGAAATTTAAAAATTACTTTTATACCGCCAAAATTCGTCGGTAATCCATTACAAGAAAATTCGTAGCTAATATGTGGCAAAATATTTCGTCGGAAGTTCGTTACTAAGCTATTCTGTTAGTAGTCTGTTACTGAATTATTCCGTCGGTATTCCGTTACCAATACAAATCCGTCGATAATTAGTTATTGATTACCAACAATAAAATCTGTTGCTAAAATTTGTCGTATCCGCCCAAAATCCGTTGCAAAAAATTACCGACAAGAATATATCGACACATTTGGATCCGTGGCAATTCCACTGGTAAAGCCATTAGCAACGGATTACCGACGGTTTTGGCCGTCGGTAATTCTCTTCTTTTTGTAGTAGTGAAGGAAACCTATTATACTTTTTTGAGTGGATGTGGCCATTATCGGAAAACAAAAATTTGAAGGGTTTAGTTCAGGTTCCCAAGATCTAGTTCAGGTTCCCAAGATCTGGATCTTAACCAAGATCGTTTTAGATTTTGCAAGATCGTAATCGTAAGATCGGATCGATATCGGTAGATCCTACTAAAATGAACTTGTATTCAAATTTGCTCATAAGATTTTAGGTGTGTAGTATACATTATAATTTGACGTCGATTAAGCCGTCAAAATGAAGTCAACTTTATATTTTTAAACATGAATCATAGTTTTTGTTGCTGCAGACCGTAAAATTAGAAAGAAAACATCTTAATTACAAAAAAAAGAAACAAGATCATTATAATCTACAACTAAAGGAGGTCATAAACAAGATATCATAAGTGTAAGTTGTGTAATTCGAGATGAAGCGATGAAGAAATGATGATCTATGAGGATTTTGCAACTTGCATTGCTCGATTTCAAGTTGAATATAAATTTTTTTGTGGTTCGACTATATAATAAAACTAAAGAGGTGGGATAGGATTGTGTTAAGATCTTAAGATCTTAGTCGGGATCCTAAAATCTCACATAATCTTGCTTCAGATAGATTCTAATGAGATCGGGATCATTTTTGGTTTGTAGGATCTTAAAATTGTAAATTTAAGATCGTAAATTTTAAGATCAGGATCTCAACCATCGTTTAGTTTATAGTTAACTTATTTAGCAAGGACTAGAACTGCAACGTGCTGATAATTCGCCGCAAACAGAGATTTTCATTGGAAAATCTAAGAAACGATGATGTAGAGTTTGGAATAATGTTCAGCTGCTTATTCAATACGCCAAAAGAGGCTTAATATAGGTTACAAAGATCCAATGATAACAAACTAATCTAGAATACGGGAATAGATAAACTAAATAGATAAACTAGTAAAGATAAAGTAATGACAGCTAATAAACTATATCCAATACTCCCCCGCAAGATGGAGCGTGCGAGTCAATAACGCCCATCTTGCCAAGTAAAAAATTGAATTGAGCTGAACCAAGGCCTTTAGTGAGTAAATCAACAACTTGTAACTTGCTATCAATCCTTAATGGCAGTATTTCTTTAGAAAGAACACGCTCACGGACAAAGAAACAGTCCATCTCGACGTGTTTCGTCCTTTCATGAAACACAGGATTGTTGGCAATGTGCCGGGCTGCCTGATTGTCACAGAACAAATCTGTAGGAGATGTGATGTGAACTTGTAAATCCTTTAAAAGCCAACGAATACAAAGAATTTCACTAACTGTAGATGTCATAGCTCGATATTCTGCCTCTGCAGATGACCGTGAAACCACTGACTGCTTCTTCGTCTTCCATGAAATAGGAGCCCCACCAAGCATAATGAGATACCCGGTACGGGAGCGCCTCGTGTATGGACAACCAAGCCAATCAGAGTCACAAAAGGCCGTCAATTGTGGGTGTCCATCTTTAGGTAGGAGCACTCCCTGTCCAGCAGTCCCCTTTAAGTAGCGTAGGACTCGATGTAAAGCATCCAAGTGGTTGCGTCTTGGATCGGCGACAAATTGACTCAAAATATTCACCGAATAAGTGACATCTGGTCTTGTAGCTTGAAGATATAACAACCTACCTACAATCCGTCGATATTGACTTGGATCAACTTTTTCTTCATTCTCACCTCGATCAAGCTTCATATTCTGTTCAATAGGAAAGTTGCTTGGTTTGCAACCAAGCATGCCACTATCTTGAAGAATATCGAGCACATACTTCCTTTGGCTCAAAACGAGCCCATTTTCAGTCTTAGCAACTTCTATGCCAAGGAAATACTTTAACTGGCCCAAATCTTTGATACTGAAAGCTTTATCTAACTGAGTCTTGATTTGTTGTATTTGTTCAATATTATTTCCAGTAATGATAACATCATCCACATAAATGAGGATAGCAATGTAAATGCCATTTTTGTCCCAAATGAACAAAGAATGGTGAGCTCTTGACTGAGAGAATCCAATACTTGACAAAAAAAACCGTGAATTTGTGATACCAATTTCTTGAAGCTTGTTTTAACCCGTAAAGTGACCTTTTGAGACGGCATACACGAGTGTCGTTTTCTGTGGCAAACCCTTGAGGAAGCTTCATATAGACCTCCTCATCCAAATCGCCATGCAAGAAAGCATTGTTCACATCAAGCTAGTGAATGAACCAATCCTTCTTAGTCGCAACAGCCAAGAGAGTACGAACAGTAACGAGTTTTGCTACCGGAGCAAAGGTGTCATGGTAGTCAATTCCCTCTATTTGTGTGAACCCCTTTGCAACTAGCCACGCTTTGTATCTTTCCACGGTCTAGTCAGGGTTGAATTTGATCTTGTAAACCCACTTGCAATCAATAGCTCTTTTTCCTTTTGGTAGTTCCACCAATTCCCAAGTATCATTGGACGTAAGTGCTTTTATTTCATTCTTCATAGCATTACGCCATCGGGGATCTTTCGCAGCTTGAGAAAAGGAAACAGGCTCATTGTTTGAAGTAATGGCCATAAGGAAACATTTATGTTTGTTAGAGAAATTTTTATAAGAAACAAAATTTGATATAGGATGTACCGTGGAGGATCCTTGATTGGTGTCAGGTTGTTGATGACTAACCTAAGGGGGAAGATTCACGAGAAAGTCCTTAAATTTTTTAGGCTGCACCCGAGTTCGTGTGAATCTAGCTGGGGTCTCAATCTCGTTTTGCAAATTTTCGATAACTGGGCTCATATTTCTTGTTGTGCTTTCATGTTGTTCTAGGCCTTTGGACAAGTTCTGATTGGTTACTACAGCTGGACTTGAAGAGATTGGGCTAGTCGACATTGATGGATCTGCTGCATTTGGACTCCCATAATCTGATGCATGCTGATCTTGGGTTGCCGAGTCTATATCAACCTCCCTTTCTTGGTTCAAATTTAATTCAGGTTCATCAGTGTGGATATGCTCACAAGAATCATTCAATATTTTAGTTGGCTCGCCAACTTCTAACTGAGATCTTGAATGAATGGTTTGAAAGGGGAATTTGTTTTCATCAAAAATCACATCCCGACTAACTATTATTTTCTTGGACTCTATATCATAAATTTTATACCCTTTTGTACCTTGCGGATATCCCACAAATGCCCCTGGTTTTCCTCTTTGCTCAAATTTATCCCCCTTTGTATTTGTATTTTTATGATATGCAAGACAGCCAAACACCTTCATGTGGTCATATAAGGGTTTTGTGTTCCAAATAATTTCGTAAGGTGTCTTATTTTTGATAGTTTTTGAAGGTAACCTATTTATTATATAGGCAGCTGTAAGAATGCACTCACCCCAAAATTTCTTTGAAACATTTGCTTGGAACCGAATTGCCCGAGCTGTTTCCAACAAGTGTCGGTGTTTTCTCTCCACAACACCATTTTGTTGTGGTGTGTGTGGGCAAGTGGTTTCAAGCAGAATACCTTCTTTATTGTAAAATTCGCGCATAAAGTTGGAAGTGAACTCACCTCCATTGTCACAACGAAACCTTTTAATGCTTTTATCAAACTGGACTTTCACCATTTTATGAAAATTAATTAGGCATGCATTAGCATCATTCTTGTGCTTAATGAGAAAAACCCAAACGGCCCGACTATAATCATCTACTAAAGTAAGGAAATAATTTGCATTCGTGTATGAAGGTATTCTGTAACCTTCCCAAATGTCACAATGAACTAGCTCAAAAATATGATTGGTCTTATTATGACTAATAGGAAAAGGAGTTCTGACTAATTTAGCCTTAGCACAAGAATCACAAACTTTTTCACTCAAGCTAACTGAATTGTTCTTAAGAAAATCAATTCTTGAAATCTTTTCTTTTGAGGCATGACCTAACCTTCTGTGCCAAATATCTGTCATGGTCGCCATGGCCCTTCTGTCTTGAGTCATCCCCATCCGGTAAAGTCCCCCTTGGTGTATACCCGCACCAATCAAGTTCCTGGTGTTGAGCTTCTGCATAACACAAAAATCAGGGAAAAAGGTTATAGCACATTGTAAATCATTGCTAATACGACTGACAGAGAGAAGATTGCACTTGAAATCTGGAACACATAAAACCCCGCTAATTTTAACTCCCCCTGGGAGGATATAGTCTCCCTTTTCTTTAACAGGTATAGATTCCCCATTAGGTATAAAAACAGGTGGTTCAAAAGGAGCAGCATTTTTATTTGTAAGTAATTGAGGGGTATGAGTAATATGTTCTGTACAACCTGAATCAACGATCCAGTCAGCCTTACCAGCTATGTTGGCACTTCGAATTGTCTCATCAGCAACCTTTGAGGAACTGAAATGTTTCACGAACATTTGGTACTGTTCTTTGGTTAATTCAGGTATTGGGCTTTCTTCTATTTCTGTATGAGCTACCATGGTTTTGGACTTGTCTGTTGTTTTCTTACCGGGCCACCAATCTGGGTATCCCACCAATCTGAAACAACCATCTCGCTTGTGACCACTTTTGTTGCAGAAGGTACAGTACTCGTCCCTTTTATCTTTCACTTCCTTGTTCGCCCATTTGGGATTCGCTTCTTTGTTCATCGGTTTAGAGCCACCTCCCTTCTGGAAGGTCTTGAAGGCAGCCGGTTCAGGTGGACTTTTCTTGTCATCAGATAGGGCCCTCTGTCTTTCGTCTTCAGCAACCAAGTGATACACCACCCCCATCGAAGGGATAGGTTTCGTTGCCAGAATCTGTGTTTTAATTACCGAAAATTGCAATTCCAAACCCATTAGAAATTGGTACAAACGTTCCTTTTCTTGGAATTCAACTAATCGTTTACCAATTTCACAGGTGCAATGGTTATAGGAACATTTTGGAAAAGGAAGAATTGAGGACATCTCATCCCACAGTGTACGCAATTTTGTATAATAAACTGAAACAGAGTTACCATCTTGACGTGTGGCTGCAATCTTCTGTTTCAACTCATATGCTCTTGGCGAACTCTCCTTTCCAAAGCGTTCATGAAGATCGTTCCAGATTTCCGCAGCTGTGTTCGCATATTTCACACTATCGCGTATGCCCTTCTCCATTGCAGTGGTAAGCCAACCTTTTATCATAACGTCACATCGCATCCAAGGCATGTATTCTTTCGTTCCCTTTTCTGGTTTCTGAATTGTATCATCGACGAATTCAAATTTATTTTTGGCAAACAGGAAATTCTCCATCTCCTGCCTCCAATCAGAATAGTTTGCGTCGGTAAGTGCTTCATTGACATGAAGTTGTTTCGGTATGTCGGATGGATGAAGATAATAGGGTGAGTTGTGATCGAACCCACTACTGGATCCTTCTCCATTCTTGTCTTTGTCTGTTGGTTCTCCCGTCATGTTTTAGCAGAAGCAGATACGGTTTAGGGTTGTAAACACCGCTCTGATACCATCTAAGAAACGATGATGTAGAGTTTGGAATAATGTTCAGCTGCTTATTCAATACGCCAAAAGAGGCTTAATATAGGTTACAAAGATCCAATGATAACAAACTAATCTAGAATACGGGAATAGATAAACTAAATAGATAAACTAGTAAAGATAAAGTAATGACAGCTAATAAACTATATCCAATAGAAAAGAGTCGGAAGACTCGGAATTGACGTTAACGTCTTAGTATTGGTTTGTTTGTGGTTTGCGTACGGATAAATACGAATCGTCCATTGTATTTTTGTTCAGTTGCAATGGGTTCGACGACTACGGCGGCGAGGGAATATGTGGAGAAGATACGGAGGACGAAGTTCTCCATCGACGGGGAATCGAATCCGTTTATGGGGGATCATCATCATCATCATGCTGTTAAGAATCTGTCTGCCAAGCTTTACACCAAGGACGTCCTTTTTCTAACGGAACTAATCCAGGTATTTAATCATGTATATCATGTGTTAATTAATGTAGTATTTCGTTTCATTTTTTTTCTTTCTTTAATATATTTAAAGTAAATCTGGTGTTAATACTTGATGTTTTCACTACACATTTTATGTTTTCTTTTGATTCTTCCGCATGTAAATGTTTCCGGTGGTTAATCAGTCGTTGCTTCTTGGTTTTTGAAGTTGATCATTGAGTTGGATTACCTTAAAAGTGTATGAAACTTTTTGTAATATATTTAACAGTTATAACTTGATTTACAATTTTTGAAATATAAAACGGAGTTGTTAAATTTACTGTGAAAAGGGTTATATACAAGAAATAACAATGCACTTTTTTATTCTTCTTGTAGCATTGTACTTTTATTTTTCCTATTGCACTTTCAAATTATTTCTTAAGGCATTGTACTTTGATATGATTTGCTGCTGATAATTAATCTTAACATATGCAATTTCTTTGCACACATAGATTCCCCACGCTTAATTTACTGCTAACGTGGCAAAAAATAATTTTATTTTTCCTTATGAAAAATTGCTCACATCAGGATTTTTCTTTAACCATAGCATCAAACTTATATATTTATGCAATTATACATGTTTACAAAAGTTAAACATAAATTATAGAAGATAACAAAACTAAATATTAGTGGAATGGATTGTAATGGTGACAATGGAAATTAGATAATTTCCAATAAGTGTTGCAGTTTTAATAGAAGTGCCCGGTTACTATGACTACTGCTACAAACTAATGTACTCACATGTAGGTCAATGTGCTTTTTTTAGCACTTGTATCGAACACCTAAAAAGGTTAAAAAGCACTAAATCTATTGAGTTGAATGTTATTTCACAGAATGCCGAGGATAACGAGTATCCAGAAGGAGTTGATCCTTCCTTGGAATTTGTGATTACATCAAAGGACATAACAGAAACCGGAGCTCCAACGACATTGTTAGTTTTCAACAACGAGAAAGGGTTTTCTGATAAGAACATTGAGTCGATTTGTAGTGTGAGACTTTCTACTAAGAAAGGCATTTGTCAGTATGGTTATATAGGCCAGAGAAGTACATTATTCTTATGTTTATCTTAATTTTTTAGTGTTAATGTCATTAAATAGTAATCAAGTTTCAACTTTGTTCCACCTTGATACCTCAAACATTTATTTAAAAAGGTTTTACCACTCAAGTTTCATTATTGTTCAATACGATATCATTTCATTCCTATGAAAGGTTAAATTGTTTTTGACATGTATAACACCTCCAATCAAGAATGAGTTCTTTAGCTAGACAAACTAATATTTTTTTTCCTCCATTATAGCCCGAATCTTCAGGACCAAACCCTTTTCTAAAGTACTTATGTCAAAATTACATAATTCTCTGCTTCCTAGCTAAGATGATAAGTATCTTTTTATGCATCAAACCTTTAGATAGACTGCTGGTCAAATTTTGGTCAAATGTCGCTCGTTCAATCTAATACCTCAAAAAATGTAATGTTATAATTTATTTTTTACTTACTCGCAACCGAGAGTTTAGAATATGCAAACAGTTTTATAAGAAATAGAGCATCTACCTGATATATAAAATTGTATATGCTATCAAGTTAAATTTACATGCTCACAACTACGATTTTAGAATTAGCAAACTCTTTTACAAGAAATAGATCTTAGTATCCTCTGATGATATGTTATTTTATTTTATTTCTGTGTATCTCTGTAGTTGTTCTGATACATTGTGTAATTTGTGTTAAATTGACAATAGTTTCAAACTAAAATGTGGCTTAATTGTTCTTAATATAATTTATTATTTATGAAAAGGTTTGGGTTATATATATTTTAGGCTTAGGTATTAAATCTCGCGGGTTGAGTCCGAGTCTAGATAGTCCATGGATGGATTGTATATGTTATACGTCTTATCTTCCTGGTGATAAAAAAAAGATATACACCCAAGAAACAGATCGTAGCTCTCTCTCTCAATTTAAGGGTTTCATTGTTCTTCTTGTTCATCTGTATTCTTCAATTCTTAATAACTCTTGTGAGAGTAGATTTAGATGAGAGTAGTATAGGAATGTGTAGTGAGGTTTTTTATATAAAAGTTGTTCAAACGAACTAATCTATTATTAATAAATAGATTGTTCATGTTGGGAAATTCATTTTGTCAAGTTGTTCATGGTATCAGAGCTTCGTTAGTTCGTCTGAAGTGTTAATCGATCGTCGGTGTTCTCCGCTTTAATCGACGGTTCTTCAAAGGTTAGGGTTTTTCCCCTTCTTCTTTTTATCATATATTCTTTAAATCTTAGTCTGTTATCAACATCTGTCGTGTTGATCTAAAATTCCGATCGGAATTTGTAGCTCTAACACCTTGGTGTTGGTCTAGGGTTTTAGTCCTTGTTCTTTATTTTGGTTTTTTAGATCTCGGTTACTGCGAGTTTGTGTTTCCTTTGCAGGTTCGTTGCTTCGGTGGTTGTTTAATCTATCGACGTTCGATTGAGTCTGTAAAATCAAATTAACTCTTCAGAGAACGGAACCTAGAAGTTCTGAAATAACTTTGAAGAAGAACATATTCGTTCTTATCTGATAATCTCGCTTAGAGATCTGAACCAAGAAATCCTGTTATTAAATGAGAGGTCTGTCGTGAATTTGCTGGTACGTGTCTCTTAAGTTTGTTGTTGATTCTTCATTGCGGTTTGTTGAAGACTAAAATCTCTCACTGTAAGTCTTCTTTCTCTTTTCTGTCTGTTCAGGCTTGTTCCTGGTAGTCTGTGTTCTGTCCTTTGTTTGTGTGTCTACTTACGCTCTCTCTGTTGACTGTTGTTTTACCTTGAGGTGTGTTACAGATCTTGTTCACCATTTCATTGGCTGAATTTTCTGATTCTGTAACTTAGTTTCTCTTTTCTTATGAGTGTTTTCTTTTATTGGTTCTTGATTGTTATTCATGACTGCTGGTAAGACTCCTGGTGGATCTGGGACGAAGTCCACTGAAACACCAGATGTTGATGATCCGTTGTATATTCATCCTACTGATACAGTTACTGGAACTATTATCACTTTCAAATTACTTGGAACTGAAAACTTTAGAGTTTGGAAAAGTGCTATGACTAGGGCTTTAAAAGCCAAAAATAAACTGGGATTTGTTGATGGAACTGTTAAGAAAGTTGAAAATGATCCCATTAAGTCTCTTAAGTGGGAAAGAGCCAATGCTGTCGTGTGTTCTTGGTTACTTGGATCTATTTCAGAGACCATTTATGCAGGACATGCTGGCTCTGAAAAGGCTATTGAAATTTGGAATGAATTGAATGAAACTTATTTTAAATGTGATGGATCTATTATTTTCAATATTCATCAAAAAATTAACTCACTAACTCAAAGTGGATTGTATGTTTCAGACTACTATAACAAACTTGATTCCTTATGGAAAGAATTTGATGGGTTAACAAACTTAGCTGAATGTGTTTGTGCTGCTTCTACCCCAATGATTAATCACTCTAAACTTATGAAACTCATGCAGTTTCTAAATGGTCTTGATGATTGTTACAATCAAGTCAAAAGTCATATTCTTTTAACTGATCCTCTTCCAAATGTTAGAAATGCTTTTGCAATTGTTTCGAGAGAAGAATCTTTTCAGAAAAATGGTTCTATGTTCAATACTTTCAATAACAACAAATCTCAAACAACTGTTGTTTTTAATAGTAAAGTCAATGATAATAAAAGGAACAGAGGTCCTAATCAAGGACTTCAGTGTAAGCATTGTGGTATAAAAGGTCATACTATAGAAAAATGTTACAAGCTTATCGGCTATCCCAAAGATTTTAAGCCCAGAAATAGTGGTAATAGGTTTTCTAATAACCATAACAACAATATTTTTTCTAATCAACATAGTTCTGAAAGATCCTTCTCTGGGAACAATGTTGTTTCTCCTAACACTGATACTTGTTCTTCTAGTGTTAATGTTTCTGATTTTAGATCACTTACTCAAGAACAATTCACCAAGCTACTTCAGCTTATTGGTGATAAACAATCCATGGATGAAGTAACTGCCAGTGCTAATATGGCAGGTACTTCATGCAATTCTTTTTTTACAAATTCCTTTAAATCTGATAAATGGGTTGTGGATTCGGGAGCAAATCAACATATGACCTCCTCAGAATCAAATTTAAATGATCTTGTTAATGTGTCAAACCTTAATCTTAGAGTGGATCGTCCTAATGGATCTACTGCTAAAATACAAAAAATTGGAAATTTGAATTTATCAAATAAACTCACTTTGTTTGATGTCTTTGTGGTCCCTGAATTCAATGTTAATTTGTTGTCTGTTCACAAGTTATGTAAGGATAGTAAATGTAAGGTTCTTTTTGATGAATATAAATGTATGGTGCAGGACTCACAGTCCATGGAGACTGGTAATGAGGGAGGGGGACTGTATTACCTCAACAGTACTCCTTCAGGCAAGTCTTCCTGCAATTCTAGTGTTGTTAAGTGTTTTGTTTCTAAGCTAACTTGGCATAGCAGACTTGGTCATCCATCTGATCAAGCTCTTAATGCTTTAAAAGGGAAATTAAATTTTAATAACAATTCTTTGCCCCCTTGTGAAGTTTGTCATAAAGCCAAACAAACTAGAGAACCTTTTTCCAAAAGTCTTCATTCCTCAAAAAAACTTGGTGATCTAGTTCATTTTGATGTTTGGGGTCCTTATAAAATTCATTCTATTAGGAACTTTAGGTCTTTTTTTAACTATTATTGATGATTTTACTAGAGGGACATGGGTTTATCTTTTAAAGTCTAAAGAAGAAGTCTTTTCTTGTATTCAAAATTTTTTAAATCTTGTTGAAAATCAATTTTCAGTTAAAGTAAAAGTTGTTAGATCTGACAATGGAACTGAATTTATAAATCATAAAATAAAAGATTTGTTTAATTCAAAAGGGATTTTGCATCAGACATCGTGTGTTTACACTCCACAACATAATGGTGTTGTGGAGAGAAAACACAGACATATATTAAACATATCTAGATCTTTGCTTTTTGAATCTGGATTACCTGTTAAATATTGGGGAGATGCTGTTATGACCGCAGTTTTTTTGATAAATCGTATTCCTACTTCTGTTCTAAATGGTTTATCTCCTTTTGAGAAGATATACAATCAATCTCCAAAATTTGATAATTTGAGAGTATTTGGATGTCTATGTTTTGCAACAAAGTTAAATGTTTTTGATAAGTTTTCTCCTAGGTCTGAAAAATGCGTTTTAATTGGTTATTCTAATGAGAAAAAGGGTTATAAACTTTTAAGTCTTGATACTAGTCTTGTCTTCTTTTCCAGGGATGTGAAATTTTATGAAAATGTGTTTCCTTTTAAGATGAAGTCTTCTCCCACTTCATCTAAAACCTTTGCTCAAAATGGCACTCATCCATTCATTTTTTTGGATCCCTTTTCCAATGATGAGTCTGATTTTTCTGAGTCTGTGATTAATAGCTCAAATTCAAATGACTTGGGAGTGACCCATCAAACTGATGGTGCAGATGGTCCTCAGTCTAATACTGATGTTAGTACAGATACTATGATAGATGATTCGTCTGTGCCTTGGTTTGGTGAGGATGTTCCCAGTACATCTGATCAGACTGAGGAAAATATTCATGTTTCTTCTTCATCTAGACCTTTAAGAACTCCCAAAATGCCGACTAGATTTAATGATTACATTATAGAAGGGAAGTATAAATATGGAGTTGAGAAATCTGTTAATTATTCTAATCTTGATACAGAAACAAAATGTTTTATCTCTAACTTGAATAAAACTCTTGAAACTCAAACTTATAATGAAGCTTGTAATAATCCAAATTTGATCAAAGCTATGAATGAAGAAATGGAGGCTTTGTACAGAAATAACACATGGGATATAATTGAACTACCAAAAAATAGAAAACCTATTGGTTGTAGGTGGATTTATAAGATTAAATATAAATCGAATGGAGAAATTGATAGGTACAAGGCTAGACTTGTAGCCAAAGGCTACAATCAGAGAGAAGGTGTTGACTATTTTGAGACTTTTTCTCCTGTAGCAAAATTGGTTACTGTTAGAATTGTGATTTCTTTAGCAATTAATAATAATTGGGATTTATTTCAACTGGACATTAACAATGCTTTTTTGTATGGTAGCCTGGATGAGGATGTTTATATGACATTACCTCAAGGCTATCA